CAGCGCGGAGACACGAGGTAGCAGTGCGAGTCGTGACCCATTTGTGGCTGCTGTGAAAGACGTGGAGGCAAATAAAAGTCTCTGGCTACAGAAGTCCCCATAATCAGGTACTGGCTAAATGGCAGGAGTCGGGCTCTGATGCCAATAGCAACATCCGGCGCTGTTCCCTGGCTCCAACAGACTCAGCCCATCTCGATAAAACAGGTGTGTCCAGGAAAATCCAGCCACAGCAGTTCTTATGCTCGGTTTGACTTGTGGTTATGTGGGATGGGGGAGACAGCTTTGGGGAATACCTGGCCTTTGACCAAAATGAAGAGGGGGAGAGAGGGTGGCATCAGCACCTAACAGGCAGGCCTTTATCAGAGACTCCCTGCCTGGGTCCTCAGTAGGTTTGTATCCGACCTGTTCATCTGCGATTGTGACGTGCCGCTTCATACTCGATGGCAACGTGTCCTGTCAGGCACGGAAAGAGACTGGAGAGAGCTCCGGCTTAGGACAAAACCGTTCCCTTCTTTCAACAGTCTAAGGCAGCAGCAGCAACAGGCACAATTCACTGCCTGAATTTGAACGCAGAGATGTGGGTCCTGCCGTGACGCAGAGATGAGCAAGAGAGGGCATAAGGATTGCACAGCCGAGACCTAGTTCAGCACTTCGCAGGCTCTGCCTGTCTACGCACAAGTGTGAACGAAAAGCCGGTGACCGAAGCTCCTCGCTCAGCTTTGCGGTCTGCTCTGTGCCGTGTTCTGAGCACACGCTGCAAATGTGCTAGAGCCCTGTCACGCCAGAAGCGTCCCTGCCCTCAGGCCACATGGCATCCCTAATAATCCTGCCCGACTGCAGGATGGTGCTGACTTGCCTCCTTTCTGCCCCCATGCTGACTGTTGCTGTTTTGCAAACGGGAGCAGCTTAGCGTGAGACAGACCCCTACTAGGGGTCTGCGCAGTTTCCCTGCCAGGGGACAGACTCATGCCAGTACTCTCGTTTCTCAGGGTAAACTTATCAAGAGCACCAAGGTGCAAAGCCCTCAGCGCCTGAGATGCCTGCTGCCATTTAGCCAGCACTGGCTGTAATGCTGTCACAGCGGGATGCTGAGGCATCTTGGTGACTGCCCGTGCAGCAGGAGAGGGGGCTGGAGGCAGCTGGCAATTAAACAGAAGATGGCTAGGCTACTTTGGCTCTTTCCGGAGCACCAGTCTGTAACGCCCTGCATACGCAGTGAGCTCGGGGACCTGACCTACCACATGCTTCTTTGAGCAATAGAAGCAAAGGCTTTACTTTCCCCATCACAGGCAGTGGTAGGTAGTTAGCCCTGCTGGGGTGAACCACCTTTCTCTCCAGCTGCTACTTCCGTCTCCAGTTGCGGCTGCCCTCTCGTGGCAAAACTATCTGCTGCAGCACCCAGCTGCCCGGAAGAGAAAACTGGAGCAGGAGCACTTGGACCGCTGCTCCCCCGCTGCCCGAGATCGCAGGGCTTCAGTGCAACTTCCCCACCGCTTTGTAACTGCACCCAGAACGCGCTGCCTTCCCCCAGGCAGCCTGGCCAAGAGGCTCACAGCACTTGGCAAGCACGACCAAGTGGCACCGTCAGAACATGGGGCGCAGCCCCGCTTCAGAGGTGTTTGCGCAGCAGGGTCTTGCCCGCATCCACACCCAGTGCAGCACTGGGTGCAGGACTGGGATTGTGCCTCCGAGGCCCCGTGACAGCGGGCTTGTCTTGCCACCTGAGGCCCCTTGCTCAAACTCCTCCCTGCTGCTCTTGGCTCAGCTGCAGGGGCTGCTTTTGAAAGCAACACCAGGTATGTTCAAAAGGGAAAACCAGCCAGAGAGTATACCAGCCTGTCTCCAAAGAGAAGGGTCACTTACTTAACCCTGGATTTGATGGCTGGTTGGTTTGTTTTTTTTGCTATTAATTTAAAACTTGTATCCTAGCACAGTCCCCCTCCCCTGTTTCTACAACTCAGTTCTCCCTCTTCCATAGCTAGGTGTCTTAGTAGCCGAGAGTCACAATATTGTATTCTAGTTTAAAAATCTAAAATTAGGAATGACATCTCATTGCATGAGAAAACTATTGCTGAGATCATTTGTTTGGGAGAGGATTTGTTTTATGGTACCACAAATATTGCAAATATGCAACTGAATACGCAGCTAGCTAAACAGATATTGGCCATTTTCTGAAACTGTCCTCGGTACAATCATGGAAGTTTTCCAGAGGAATTGTAACCCAAGAAGGCTGCCTGCTTCCTAATAACCAGAACAGAAAACACACAGCTCTGGGAATCCTGTACAGGGAGTGGACCCAACTGACAGGCCAGCCAAGGGACTAGGGTCTCCGTGTGCTTCTATACCTCACAATCCAAAAATTATTATTTTTTGCTCTTCTTATTCCTCCTAAATTGCATGCAACAAATGATTTAGTCTCTGACCAACAGTGAGGGGGAACATGAGGCTTTGGGGATCTTTTACATACACAGTGAGAACGGTTTGAAGCCATGGTATCTTGGCCCGAGAGTTTGCAGCTGAGGGAATTATTGTGCTCAGTCAAGACCCGGGAAGCCTGCGAGGAATTCCAGACTGGAGCACAGTGGCTGAATTGCATCTGCTCTCATGCTGCCCGATGTGGCCAAAGACATGATGATGTGCACGCAGAAGGAAGGCTCTGACCCACTCACATACATCGCTGCATTTTAAATTAATGTCAGCGACGCGCAAAAACAGTAAATAGAAACGTGTCACTATGCCGGCTCACTTCTTTTGGTTCAGCGTATGCTGATGGTCAAGAACAAACACCAGGCTACTACTCTACCTGAAAGACAGAAGAAGAAATACTGAAAGTGTAATGTCAGCATGGGGCTACTGTGCCCATTTCTGATCCTCTTCGTTCTGAAAGAACATTGCCCTCAGAGGCCCGGAGGGATGGGAGATGAGGGGGATCGGGAGAGAGTCCACAGGAAGGGAAATCCTGGGGGGCAATTTTATGTTTCCTAGGCAGCAGGGGGGGGGAGGAAATCAGACCAAGACCAATTTGGGAATGGGAGACCCAGTTTCCAGGACAAAGCCTTTGGAAAAGGATGCAGGCAGGGTACAAAGTGTTTGCTTACGTGGCGATTCCAAACAGGTGGCCAAAAGGAGATCAGCCTGGGCGCCAGCTCCCCTGTTTTGGCTCAGCTCAAAGCCACGAGGCTACCATGACCAGCACCACGGCTGCAGCAAGTACTAAAAGCAGCTGCTCTCTTCTCGCCGTCTGAAAGAACACGACAGGAGTTTACACTGCAAAGTGAAAACTTTCAATGTTTTATTCTTGACTGCAGCTGTTTACAGAAATATAGTTGCGAGTATACAAATGTCCCAATAGAAGCAAAATATTTTTTTTTAATATTCAACAAGTTATCACAGGATAGCTAAAAACATAGATGCAAATGAAATATCCCCTCTTAGAACAAACTGAACACACCTGGTATCAGTGCTCGGAAAATCCCAACTACGAAAGCCATATACACAGAAATGCACAAAAGAATATCTGGTGCTACTTTCACATTGCAAGACAAGGGAAAAGACAGCTCAGTGGTTGATTAGTGCGCTTTAGTCAAAACATGGCAGACAAACCAGTCGGGGGGAAAGAATGATTACCAGGAGCGTGCTGAGTTCATGCAGAGATTAACAGAGGTAGAAGGTTCTAGTCTGGGGCGGCTTGGAGCTTACCCAAAGGCAAACAGCGATAAGAGGACATGACTCCAATCCCCTATCAAGTAGTAGCCGGTATAGAAACGGCTTCAGACTGGTCGTGGCCCGTTCGGCAGGACAGAGCGTCCCTATTCCAACCCCGCAAAATCCAGAATTTGACATTTTGGTTTGCTTTTTTAAACAAGGTCAAGAGCCAGGACCTGGTCCTAACCTCCCTACCTGCTGGAACCTCTGTGCGGACCGGATCCTGGGCCAGACCCTCAGCTGGTGTTGATGGGGGTACCGCCATGGGCTTGAATGAAGGAGAGGAGAGACTGAGGGACCTGAACCTGTTCAGCCTCAGCAAGAGGAGGCTGAGGGGGACCTGGTGGCTGCCTACAAGCTCATCAGGGGGGATCAACAGCAAATAGGCAGAGCCCTTTTCTCCCCAGCACCACCTGGGGTGACGAGGAACAATAGTCATAAGCTGATGGAGAACAGGATTAGGTTAGAGATCAGAAGGCAATATTTTACAGTTAGGGTGGCCAAAATCTGGAACCAACTTCCCAGGGAAGTGGTCCTCGTCCCTACCTTGGGCAAATTCAAGAGGAGGTTGGATGATCATGTCTGAGGTCTTGTGAGCCCGGCATTCATTCCTGCCCGTGGCAGGGGTCAGGCGAGATGATCTGTTCAGGTCCCTCCTGACCCGAGCTACTAGGAAACTACGAAGCTGTGGCGTTTTGCGCTGGCTGAAGATCCGGTGCTCACATGGTGGTTCCACCAGAACAAGTGTTGGGGGGCTCCTTGGAGCGAGCTGCGGTTGGGTTCACAGCAAGAAGGTAGAGCATCACCACCCTCGTATCTGCCTGAATGGGCTGTATATACTGTGGGATAATTTTTAGTCTGGAGGAGCACAAAATATTAAAAGGTTTCTCTACAGAAGGGAGCGTTAGTGAGGGATGACAGGAGGAAAGATAAGGAAGAGAAGGGAATTCAGGTCACTTGCACTGGGCACTAAAGGGGGGTTTGGTAGAGATGGTTTGAATCAAGCACATGCCAGATTCAAGGTGATAATCTTGCTCTCAAGTTCCTGGTGTGGCCTGGGAAATAAAATGCACTGCTATGCATCTTTGTTAAGAATCAATATTCCTTTTAAGAGTTTAATCTCTTAAGTACGTAAGAAATAAGTACAGGCAAAAGCAGTGCTCCCACTCAGTCTGAGACCACCCACAGGGAACGCTTCTTGGTCAGACTGCTTCCATACAAAACCACCTCAAAATCCTATGATGACATTACATTGTTTTGGGGGCATCTTTATATACAGAAATTAAAAAAGGAAGGAAGAGGGAGGACCCAGGAGTAGGTGCAGGTCCTTAGTTCAAATGCAACTCAGCCTAGTGGCAGCTGGAAGTCTTTGCCCCCTGACAGGGGTTAGGGGCCTCTCTTGAACAGGAATAACTGGCCTCAGTCCAGTTCCTCGTGGACCTGTACCTGCAAAACAACATTCATTCTTGTGCTACTGGCCAAGCACTGAAAAGCCAGTGGAAAATGAATCCTGCCAGATGGTCCCTCCTGGAAGGGCTAAGACAAACTGGCAAAGCAGCAGCTTGTCTGGAAAGCAGTAAGCACGTGCTGCTGCTGCCCTTGCCAAGACGGACCCAGGACATGGGACCGGGATCGCCAGGCTGTCGGTTCCACACATTTTTCAAATGTCAAATTTGCCAAACGGCAATAAAATAGTGGGGAAAAACCAGAGCAGCAAGCAACGGTTCAGACAGCAGCAAAGTGCTGAAAAGCAAAACACGTTTCTAGGACAACACTTACTGTTATACTACTAATTGTTCCAGACATATATCATATTTACACACACAGACATAACTAGTACTCAGCTACTGAGGTGAGCTTGGTAAGTGAATTCGCACTATGGAAAAATTAATTATGTCAACTTTATAAAAATGTTGATATAACAGTATGTTATGCATGTATATAATAAACTAAATAATATATATATGATATTTGATTCCAGCTATATACATATGTACAGATCTAGAATATACAGGTGTGGCATATCTGCATATATATACATTGATTATATAAAAGGGAAAATCCTTTTCTAAGTTGCCTCTCAAAAATGCAGACTAACCTAGACAACTACAAGTACATTTTTTGCTATATTTCCTCTGCCATGTCTCATCTTTTCTTCTATTTAACTACATATAGCACAGCAGTTCTCTATGATGGGCCTCAAATAGACAAAAGTGTGTATAGAAGTGTCCCTGTTTTTCTATGCTTCACTCACTACTTGCACAGCTACCATAACTGCATCTGAATTTGGACTTATTTATGCGTGGAGTTCTCTCGACCTGTCCCAAAGACTCAACGAATACTGACAAAAATGGATGAGTACCAACTAGCTCACTTTTAAACTTCACTGACCTCCGACCACTCCCCCTGCAAAATTATTTCCCAGAAACCACTCTAAAGCAGGTTGCTTTTCTCCCTTCAGCAACCACCTTAAATATCCCTGGTCTCACTTTCCACCTAAAATGCCTGATTCAGAGCACCCTATGCAATTCCTCTCCCTACTTCTCACTTCCATTATTCAGCTATATGCTTGCACCCATTTGCACTAATCTATCTATACATGCTTTGACTAGGTAGCCTAATAACTTTTAAGTAACAGAGCAACATGTGAGCTGCAACTGAAAACAACATTCTGATGTCCTCATCTTCAATAACTTATTAAAGCTTTGCCTGTTTGGGTGAACTTAAATTTCTTTATTCCACTGATGAAGCTTTAAACAAAACAGACTTTCTTGCTGCTTGGAAAGGTTTATGCTACATTAAAAGAGGGTGCTTGAGCTTCTGAACGGTGTTTCCTTTTTGAAGGCTTTGGAAGGACAATTTGTGAATGGAAAAATCTAACCAATGCAGTAGATATTACTTCTTTCAGGGCAACACATCCCGAAATCACAGCGGAAGACTAGAAAAGTCAAGCCTTGCTCCTATTAGAGAAATGTGCACACTTGTAATTGGAAAAGCCGTCAGTGTAGGGCTAAGACAGTTAAAATTCACAGACGCTATCTTGTTTGTCACTTATTTTGATTTAGAACTAATCCAAAGTACCCAGCCATGGACACTGGTCATCCTGCCAATAGCTCAAAATTAGCAAAATAAATGCCTAGTGGTTAAGTGTCTCCTTCAGAGCATCAGGGCTGAAACTATTCCTTCAACTGTATGTGTTGACAAAGAAAATAATGGAAGAGCATTTGGCGTGGATGAGCCATTGAAAGGGTCAAACCATGTCAAGGCAATCTGTGCCAACAAACAGACTGGCTGGCAAAGTGGGAAGTGTAGATAAACATTTCCACTGGCAAGAGCTGCTCAACTAATATTTATCTTAATATTTTCTATGCCACAAGTGTTATTCATATAACCTATTATTCTTTCAATGATGAATTAAGAATAGTCCATTTTTAAGTACTGATATCATACATACAGACACAAGGGGACTGGCTAAAGGCATGGACTGTGGTGGCTAAAAGGACAGGTTTCTTTAGGTATTCTTATAACAGAGATGCTGTTGAGACAGCAAATAAAGGGGATTGGAAAGCTAATGTGCAAAAAGGATTTAAAGCTGAAAACCACCTAAATTCAGATAGAGTTTTTGGACTATAGATGCTTTAACAAAAGGTCCAAGGCAGTAGAGAAAGACAAATAATATACAGAAAATCCACGCTAAAAATACAACTTTATACTTTTCCACCTTGCATCTAGTAAAGGTAGCTACAAAACCATGTACTTCAAAAGAGTAAATGTTTACCTTAAATATATAAAAAGCAAGTTCTCCAGCATGTAATCTGAGTCAAACGGGCCTCTTAAGTTTAGTGTGTGCAAGAGGCAATCGTGTAAATGTTACTGACTACTCAATTACACACACACACACATATATACACACAAATTGTCATCACCTTAAATGACTCCTAACTTTCCAACCAAACAGGATTGGATTGGATAGGCCCCACCCCCTCAATAAAAACTCGACAGGCAAACACTTTTTATACCCCACTCTTCTGCCCAGACCAGTGCAGATGAATCATAGAATAAATAGATCAGCAAATTAAAAATACCCCCCCCACCCTTTCCCACCCAAAAACAACACCCAAAAAACCAGGGTAAGCTCCAAATATCAGTATCAACTGCTGAAATCACGAAAGTACATGGGTGGGACTCTGAAGGAGTAGAGACAGGGGACTCGCATGATACTTAGGTTCTTCTGCCATGAAACAACTCTTGCAAGCGGTTTCCAAAGCCATTGTTGAACTTCACTCTTTATGCAACTGAAAAGATGTTTGCAAGTAGCAGCGCAAGCACTAGTCAACCACTGAGCAAGGTTTTAATTCAGAAGACAAATACTTTTTGTAACCAAATCACATGTTCAAAATGTTGTACATTTAACATTGACCTAAAAATGGACACAGTAAGTTTGACACAACAGAAAGTAAAGATGCTGTTTAGTAGTGAGAACATGGTCGCACAGCCCTTGTTATAAGCAACCTTAAAATACGCACAAGTCAAACATTCCCCTGCCCCAGAGCTGTAGCAGTCCCGACAATAAGTTCTATTTTGGACACCAATCAATGGAAAACTGGTCCCTGGTGACTTGGCGCTGACCAACGTTTCAGCATGAAGATGCTCCCACTTCCAAACAATGGAACAAAATGAAGCAGCATACAAATCAGTTTATTATCCCCATCTCTCATCAGTCCACAGTAGGCCCACTCAGTCAGCAGGATGTCATCAAACATCCTTGTCCTGGGACTAACTGTGAATAAGTTGATCTTACAGAAGTCACCAGTTAGTTTCCGAAGAACTGTTACAGGCCATTGCCTCCCACAGCCATCTGGAAGCTGTACTCAATCCAATGAGGCGCAGAACCCATCTATGTCTCATCGGACAGCATTCAGGCAATGTTGCGAGGCTGCTCTTCCATGAACCATGACAAGAATTTTACTTTTTCTTACGAGGAAAAGAAAACAAATTCATAGGAAGAAAAGTGTCTTGTTCGGGGTTAAAAAGCAGCTCCGGACATTATGAAGTAGGGAAAATTTTCTTTATCGTGATTAAAATTTCCAACAACATTGTTAGTGTAATTATAAATTAAAAATAACAACACAAAGGTGCTAATAGTAAAACATTAAATAGACAATGACAGTGAATAAAAGCTGAATGGCTCATTCTGAATGAAACCCCGTAATTTTACAGTTGCCTAAATGGGTTTCCTTACTACATCACACTGCTGAGTGACAGACACATCAAACACAGTGAAGCTGCCCACTGCCAACCGGAACAATACACTGCCTGATGGAATGGCCAGAGATGAACAAGTTATTTATGTTGCAAAAAGTACTTAAATACTTAGTAAAGACATAACAAAACCCACCCCCACTGTTATCAGACGCCACGTTGTGGTAGAACATCAGACAAACTCACAAATTTACCACAAAAATGTGTGGCAAAAGAATATTTCATATATATGTATATATAGATATATATATATATATATATATAAATTTTTATATTTATGCCAATGTACTCACTCAGTACAAATAGCAAAATAGTATACCATTTCCTAAATACAAAATATAGCTTTCCAAAAAAATGAAACACACATTAGATATAAACCATCCAAAACTTGAACGATTGAAAACTGTATTCAAAATTAAATGACCCAGAGCAGGTCTCTTTCTGAAAAGTTCCCTTCATATCGGCAAGAAGCCTTACTACTGAAAACGTAATTCAATGCCTCTCAATGAGAGAGAGAGAGAGAGAGAGAGAGAGAGAGAGAGAGACTGAAAGAGCAAATAAACATTTTGAAAGACTGACATACAGGAAAGACCATTAAAACCAAAAAAACATTTCTACACAGCTCAGCTAGGTACACAAGTTAGAAAAAACACACAGTAAACAGACTAGGGTAAATTAAAAACCATTTACAGGCTATTCTTTTTTTACTTAAAATAACAAATTAAAAATGACACACCAACTTTACTATACCAAGGCATAACAGCCATACATGACGTGTTTGGCTCTATACTGCATTAACAGCTTTCTACGTGCAGGAGACGGACAAGACAGAAGAAATGCCTGCATGAGGTTGTAGTGAGAGCCCAGCATACCTCCTGGGGTAGCTGGAGCACCCAAAAGAACTCACATGCCTCACAATGCAACCACATGGCCTGGAGTGGGTTATTTTTATGTACTGTAACAGAGGCTGCTTTTTAATGGAATATATGACCTGGGAGAAGCTGCAGGATATGGGGACTATCAGTAAAAAAAAAAACCATGCACTTCATCTGTCATGAGCTGAAAAGGCTGCAAAGATGCACCAGCTGAAGTGAAGTTTTTAAGAACACTGAAACGTGTTGTTTGCCCCGTTTAAAATTAAAAAGTAAGGTTTTAATCAGCAACGATTGGAGAAGCAGGGCAAGTTTTTGCATTTGGGCGATGGCAAGGAACTGGCATTTCCACGGTCCTTAAGCCCTGCTGACCTGTCAAGGACTTCTACAGACTTGGCATCTGGATACCACAGTCATAGGTGCCTTGGCATCCTAAAAGTTGCTTCAGGTTTCTAAAGCCAATAGTATCCGTATGTGTTTAAAGACCATGTAAAAGTTGAGGGAAGGAAAGAGGAAGAATATGGAAAGAACGAAAGAGGCCAGATCGGTATGAGAAAAGATAATGCAGCTGACAAGCTCTGATTTACGCAGTTGTAGTGAGAGACATGAAGGAGATGTTTCCTCAGCCAGGCAGATTGCTCCCTTCAAGTTCAAGGTATTTTAGAGGATAAGGTTTCAGAATACATTACTGTGACGTTCTTCTTCATTTTGGTAGAGCCACCTAATTCTTATTCTATGTACAGTTCATAAGTAAGCCTACCAGCAGAGAGACAGAAAACTGTTAATCACATTCTCCGATGGGAAGCAGCCACATCTTCCTGGATGTTCTGCGAGATGTAGTAGATAATCTGCCTGCAATTTATCCGCATCATCTTTTACTACCACCTGTTGTAACTAACCCATCGCAGCCATGGCTCTTCAGCGCCATTGTCAAAACTGCAATTCTTTCACCGACTGACAGCTATGTTGTGAATCACAGCTCAAGCCATGGGCGCACAATGTTCCTGCTTCACAAGCTTTCCTACTTGACAGAGGTTTTGTGAAGAAGGAAGAGAAAAGAAAAGGTAAACATGGCAACATGTATTATTTTCTAACAACAATAATAGCTGAGCAGTCCTGCTTTGAATTCAAAAAGCATCACTGACCAGTGGGTCTAGGAATATGGCAAGTCTCATTCCACACCCTGGTAAAACAAAGCACAACTTTTCAGCCATTATTGACTTCAAGAGTTTCAAATACTACAGTTACAGACTCAGTTGCTAGAAACTGCAGTAGGCAGCATATGTGCTCTTTAGAAAAAGAGGGAGAAGTTTACATATTTGCTTGGGTACAGGCCATTCTTTGACAGAAGTAAATCGGTTCCACACAGCTTAATCCAGAATCACAAGGTCTGAGAGAACTTGGAAACTGTCAGCTTTTCCTTCATAGGATTTCTGAGAGAGGAGGAGAAAAAACAAGAGTTAGATGCAATTAGTTAAGTCTCATTTTACTTTTATGTAGCTCTTTCATCTGAAAGCATTCTACAATCAAGAGAAAAAAAGAAACACTCAGTCCCAAAAAGCAGCCATCTCGTGTGATGGAACACCACAGGGTTTTTTTCCAGTTCTTGACATCATTACACAAGTCTGAAGTCATCAAGTGAAGGGTGTACCATCCAACAGAAATTTCACCGGGGGGTTTAGAGAGGCTGAACGTAGTTACAGAAGCAGGATACAGACAGGCGAACAAGTTGAGTCTAGAGTCATGGCCTATTTAATGCCCATCTGTGATCAGAACCTCGCCTCGGAAACACTGCACTTACAATAGTTCTCCCAAACTCCTTTGGCATAATAGGAGGGGCTTTGGAAGACTGCAGATTAAAGGGAAATCTGACACATGCATAAAATAATTTTGAATTAAAACCAGATCTGGTGGCAGTTCTCAGGGATGCCTCACCTGTCTGACAGCAATCCATTCATCTAATTTATCCCAATACAAAATTAGGCTATACTGGTACAGGAAAAACAACAAAGGCCAGTTCAAAACCAAAGCTTGGTCAACAATTTTCTACCGACTCTGATCCCTTGACAATCACAAACATCTACTAGTTCTAGCTACCTGCAGTTAAACACTTGCTTAGGAGGAACAGAAATATTTTAATAAATGTATATATGCATAATGTTGGACTGCAAAGTCATACCATCTATTAAAAAGAGAGGCTTTTTGGTGTATACACAAAACCTTACTGAGCACTGCATGACTGGCAAGCAGACCCATAAAACCCCAAATCCACTACTTACTTGGCCAGTTAAAATGAGCCAGCCATGTTGTTCCCCGGGTTTTGTAATGACACAAGCAAGTCATCTATTTTCTCCATATTCTGATTGGTTGTCATCGCTGAAGGTAGTGGAGAATTCTCAGATATCTGCTGGGGCAGTAGTGTTGGCACAGGTGGCTGCCCCTCATTCTGTGGCTGACCTGACTGACTTATAGCCATCAGCTGATCCGGCAATGCTGCTGGTCCAGAAGTTAAGAGCTGGCCACAGTCTGTTAAGAAGTTAAAAGGAAACAGAAGAAAATTGAAGCTGCAAAATCCATATTTAAGAAGTTTGTTAAGAAACCTCTTTATTGAGATCAAAATCTACTTAAGAGCTTATATAAAGACAGACATGCTTTTACTCACAAGACAGTCACATGTGCCATTTCCCCAGTGAACAAATTCAGTTAGTGCAAGCATCTGCAATCAGAAGGGTGCTAAGTAGCACCAGCACCCTCTCTGTATGGCCTGTAACAGACTGGGGAGGGCACAGGCAGCACAGTGGCAAATAGGATAACAAGCAGAAAGTAAAGCAAATTGAGCAGGGAGCACAGGAAAGGAAGCAGAAAGCAGAGCACCAGAGATGAGGAAGCACAGGGCTGGGAGCAGAAAGCAGAGCAGCAGATCAGGCAGGGGAAGGGGATAGGAGTGGCACTCAAGGGAGGGCACAGAATTAATTCATGGCATGCCTGTCAAAAAGGTTGGCCCCCACTGTGTTAGTGCATGTTCTTGTGAAGAAATGGTTTTGGTTTTAAAAATCAAACACTATTAACACCCTAGCAGGCCAGGGAGAGCACCTGGCTGGAAGAAAAATATGGAAAGGAACATTATCTCCAGTGCTTGAAAACTGTTCCACTGTGTCCACAGGCTGTTTCAGTAATAGGTATGGCTGTATCCCTTTCATTTCCATCACCAGTACTCCATAAATTTGCAACTGCCATTGTGCATCAGCTTTCTCTCTGCATCAGTACATCTAATGATCAAACTGCACAGTAAGTTTTACCAACTTGTCCACATAAAGTCACAACATTAATTAAATGAGGCATAAGAACATCAGCAGTGCCATACTGGGTCAGACCAATGGTCCATCTTGTCTAGGATCCTGTGTCTGACTGTGGGAGAGCAGATGAACTGGGCAGATCCTCTGTCAGACCCTCCCTAGTTTAAGGGTTTCAGAAGAGCCCTGACTGTTCTGTTTCATAGCTATTAATGGACCTGTCTTCCATGAATGTCTAATCCTGCTTTGAACCTGGTTACATTATCTGCAGAGATAGAGATGAATGCAGACATTATGCCTTCTGCTTATGTATCATGTAAGGCTAGACAATTCTTTGTGACAGGCAAGGGCAGCATTTTATAAAAACATTGAAAGATAGACTGGTCTCTCCCAAGAGACTTGTATTATAAATTCATCAGAGCACACAATAAAAGGCAAAGTGGTGGATTTTGAACAGACCAAACTTACAAAAGTAAAGACACAAGCCTGGCTTCTAGCACATCTTACTCATGACTTTTTTGCATTATCAACTTGTAAAAACTTCCTTTAAGTTATAATCATAATGCGCAGACTGTTTGAAAGACCAACAGGGGAAGTCTTGAGAAAGATCTAAAGAAGGGACATATTTTTCCTCTGTTTATGTAGCTATTTGTGCACCACTTACACTCGACAACTAAAATATGGAGAGCTTTAACAACTGGGTAACCTAAGAGCAAATCTGCCCTAGAGTGCTCCAAGGGATGACAAGGTTGAACGGTCACAAACTCCTCCACGACCATTTGAAGCTGGACATAAGGAAGAAATTCTTTACTGTCCGAGCCCCAAAGGTTTGGAATAGACTGCTGCTGGAGGTGGTTCAAGCACCCACTTTGATCGCCTTCAAGAGACATTTGGATGCTTATCTTGCTGTGATCCTTTGATCCCTGCTGACTTCCTGCCCCTGGGGCAGGGGGCTGGACTCGATGATCTTCCGAGGTCCCTTTCAGCCCTAGTGTCTATGAATCTATGAGAGGTACAATACAAACATAGAACAAACTGAATTGTGCTTAAATCTCAACTATCACGATGCATTGCAATCATTTCAGTCAGCATTTTATATTTTTTTGTGAAGGACAAAGAGTAAGTGAACGATTTGGTAAATAAGTATAGATAGGACACAGTTTGAAAAACAAAACGGATTACTGACTACATGCACTGTATGTGCCCCGCTTCTGTTGACACGTGCAGAAATTTGGGAGGAGTTAACACCTGTGCACACAGCTATCCGAATCTGGACACAGATGTTAGTGGACCAAACTCTGTAAGACAGTGTGTATACTTGAAGAACTCTGTTTATACCTATGGATTCTGGAGTAAACTCTATTGAAATCAGGCTCCAAAACAGAACTGCATCCATTTCAGGACGGGGCTATCCAGCAATGTAGATATGTGCTTATTGCTATAAACAGGAGAATTACAGGAGGTTTTGAGGGGCCCACATGAGATTGGAGTTGCACTGTAGTGTGTTTGATACATATGCTTATGGAAAAAAGAATCCTATCTCTAGCAGCTTACAACCTAAATAGACTGAGGGGAGCAGAAGCCAGACAAGATTATTATCCCCATGTTACAGATATTCCGAGCGTTACCTATGGTCCCAAATGGAGTCTAAAGAAGGGATAGGGACTGAACCCAGAGCTACTGAGTCCTAAAATTCAGTGCTTTAAACGAGATCACACTTACCAGCTAGGAAGCTGCACAAACTAACTCAGAGAACATTAGCAAAAAAAGGAAAGTTAGCTCTTATGAATGCAGACTCAGCTAATAGGGAATCTTAGACTGCAAACAAATGTTGGATTTCTGCCTCCATAAACATTGTTTTGGCAACACAAAGCAAAGCAAATAGATGTCCATGCCCTCCGTTGCACCCAAACGCCCAAATTTGTGGTGGTGACAAAAGGTAGCATTCATTTGTGCTGCTATTTTGAGGCAGATGTCTGTTTTGTTTTAAGGTGGGAGAGTGCGAGCAGTCTGGAGCAGACCATGCTCTCCTGCCTCTCCGGGCAAGCACTCCTGGGGCTTCAAGGGCCCAATCCTGCATGCCCTGCATGCCCCAGGAATTCCCCAGGGGATGAATTCCCTAGGGAATTCCCAGGGCACACAGGAGCAGGCCCCTAAAGCCCTGGGAGCACCAGCCCAGCTTTTCCTGTTTGCAGACATGCCCCACATCAGAGACCCCAGGCATGCCTCTACAAGAGGACCCTAGGTTCCCACATTTTCAGAGGCATGCATTGTGTTGTCCTGCAGGATCAGGCCCCTGCCACTGCAGGAAAACAGACAACAGGCTGGGCCATAACTAGACACAGCTGATCTGCTTCATTTGGCAATGTCTGTTTACAGCCTTAATTAAAGTTGAACTGGGATTTCACTCCATCCCTCCTCTCCGTAGCTTTTGAAAAATGTTTTGGGATAAACTCTCTCAAACTCGGTCTCAAGAGCTATCTTCTTGATCTCCAGATTTAGTGGGAAGTTACTTGATTTCCCTCCTCCTAAGACAGTGAATTATTTGGGAGGTAAATCCATTGCTGTAGAGATAAGTCATCGTTAGTTCCCCTCTGCGCAAACTGCCTTGAGAGGACACAATAGTAATATACTTCCATCCTCCAGCCACTCAAATAGCTTAAACTAAATGCAAAACAGAAAATACACTACCAAAAAAAGTTATTTATGGGGTCAAGGTAAATTCAGCCAAAAATTGAATAGGGCATGGTGCAAATTCACTCTTGCACAATTTTTATGGAGAAATGCATCTAAGGGTTAAACATGGTCTTTCGAACTACAGCATCTCTTCAACCATATTCGTATCATTATGAGAGCAATATTATGTTTGAAAAGTACAGCTCATGCAAATGCTCTTTGTTTCCAGAACTTTCCCAGTTAAAAAAACCCAAACAAAACACAATCCAAATTATCATTAATTTTAAAGAAAAACATGTGCACAAATGGAGAGAAAAAAAACAATCACCAAGGCCGTCGCCAGTGGCTTTTAACAGACAAATTTCAGTTTCCCCTAACATAAAGTAACCCATGTCAATACAAAAGAGGTTTTCCTTAAGTGACAGATGCCACAAGAATACTTAGGAAGAAGATTTTCCAAAAGGAACCCCCAATCTTTTTTCCTCAAGATAACCTCAATTTCTAAACGAGGGAGCAGAACGTTGTTTATGAAGCACGACAGACCTCCTACGCTTCTGGACTTTTAAGCTTCCTGGGCAGCTCGTAGTGAAAACAAGATGTTCTTGATGTGGCTATTTTTCCTGCTGTGTACACTGATCACATTTAAAGTTTGGAGATGAAATGCCCCTCTGATTTGAATGTGGATGCTCTGGGGAAGCAATCCCAATGCACCTGTCATTTTAGAACAGCAGAAATCCTCACTCTCAGACCTCCAGTAATGCAGCCCATCCAGCTGACAAAGCTAATTAAAGCAGCAGAGCTAATAAAATTTCTTGTTAATCAACAGCCAGCTCGATAATTGATATCTGTTGTAAGAAGGGGTTTAAGTCCATAGCAAAGTCCCTTACGCTTATGCAGATGAAAAGCACTGCAACAGTTAAGCACTCCTATTATATATTTCTGAAGAGAAATAACATTACCAAATGGTCAACAAATTTTCTGGGGAGTTATTTGCTTTCAGCCCTTTCTAGGTAATGAGCTATTTGGGAAACGAATCTATTCCTAGATAAATCATCATCATCTTTTCTCAACATGTATTTTCTTGAGAGGGCATAACATAAATTTACCTCTTCCTCTTCAAAGAGGGAGAAGGAATTCATGAAAACATCTTGTTCCAAGTCCCAGAGGTGCAAAACAAATTCCTCACTGAGCCACTATTTATATTTAATACTACATTGCCCTGCTTCCTTATCCTATAACTTGCTCCTTTTTAACAACACACACAACTGCATGATGCTTACATAACTAACCCAGAAGGGAAATGCAATATAACCAATCAGAAAGTAGAAGCTGACCCACTTTTCCATATATAACATTGCTGTGATGAGAAGGGATTTTTTCTAACTGAACCACTCTACGTATTTAATATTTGCTTCATTCAGTTTTCTAACCGATCCACTCTACGTATTTAATATTTGCTTCATTCAGGTTAAATATTAAACATTCATCTCCTTTGATCAGTTCCTTTATTTGCAAATGCAAATACAATATGAAATTGGAAATTCAAAAGTCTACTTGCCTCCCCCACCCCACAACCTCCTATTTTCCTTTCCAACCATCCCACTTTCACAGTTAAACCTTCACTATTTTGGAACAAAAGGAGTCTAGACAGCAGAAAGGCAACTATATTGACTCGTACACGTACACGCTGGACTGATACTCAATGACCACGGTTCTCAGATGTATGGGTATAATTTACCATTTGCCTTTGAATGATCAACATTTTCAATGGAAAAAGTAATCATTACTACTTGGCTCTTAAATTGCACTTCACAGGGCTGTGCAAATCCAATTAGTCTAGCAGACCCCAATGTAGCAGATTTCTTAAATCATACAGTTAGAATCAAGGATCTAACACTTACTGTTCTGAATGCCAAAGAGGAATATTCCTGAAGTCTGCTGAGATGAAGCAGGAGAATTCTGCAATTGATTGATAGCCCCCCCTGCTGTGTTGTGAAACAAAGAAGCCTGCTGCTGTGGTGGAGAAGCTGTCCCTTGAATCCCCGTCATACTGTTCTGCGAAGAGTAGAGAGGAGATTGCTGCAGCTCTTGCTGGCTCATGCTATTCTGCAAGGCAGACATGGAGGCTGAGGAGATGAAGAGGGTCACTTGCTGCTCTTGAGAACTTGGTGATCCTTGAACCAGCTGAATCTGAGGAGAGTTATGGAACAGGGTTGGCTGCTGGGATTCGGCCTGGGTGGATCCGGGATTCTGAAGTGGAGTCACTGTGGTTTGATTCTGGAACTGCATGGGCTGCTGATCCTGACTCATTGGCGCCATGTTGGCTTGTGGGTGGAAAATTGACTGGCCTTGCTGCTCCTGATTAGCAATTGGGTTTTGATTTGGGTTGAAAATCATGTTCTGTTTTTGAGACGCAATTGTATTCATGGCATTTTGATTACTGAACATCATATTCTGCTGCTGTTGCTGCTGTTCTTGGGATGAAGAGCTACTCTGAATTGCGACTATTGAATGCTGAGGCTGGAAGATGGCCCCTTGTTGGTTCTGGGGCATTGTATTGGATTGGAGGGAGCCTAAAGATACTTGAGACTGAAACAAACCCTGCTGGGTGGTTTGAGCCTGAGACTGTTCTTGGGGAAGCATCGGGCTCTGGATGTGGGATATCTGCGTCTGTTGTTGGAAAGAAGCCTGCTGCTCAGTGTTTGGAGCCGTCTGAAGTGGTGAAATGGAATTCTGGGCAGTAAAGAATGACATCTGTTCTTCCTGAGTTGCAGGGTTATTCATTGAACTCTGAGAAAGGAACATGCCGGTTGACTGTTGGTCTTGAGAAACTGAAGAGCTCTGCAGCACGCCCATTGTGTTCTGGGAGTGGAACAGTGGAGACTGTAGTTGGTCCGAGGAAGAGGAAGCGGTCTGATTGTGGACAATGGAATTTGGACTGTGAAAAATAGACCCTTGCGTTTCCTGCGATATATTTTGGGCGTCACCAATAGGATTCTGAGAGTGAAAGAGCTGAGCCTGTGAATGTGGAGACTGCTGCATGAAACTTCCGGACTGAATAGACATCATTTCCCCACCTTGCTGGTACAGCCCACCTCCCTGCTGCTGAGTTCCACTTGCCTGAACGGCCATCATGTTTTTTGTAGATGAAAAGAGGTTGACTTGAGACTGATTTTCCCCGCTGTGTTGCATCTGAACCATGGTCTGAAACACATTGCTTTGCATCTGTTTATTCTGTCCTGAAGCTTCTTCACCATCTGCAGAACTCGATGTCTGAAACATGGCAGGGCCGTTGGTTGAGACTTGCTGTTGCGCAGTTGCGGTAGTTTCAGTCCCAGAAACACCAGGAGATGAAGAGAATAACTCGCACTGCATCTGCATGTCCTCGCTTGTTGACAGCCCACTCATCATGTGGGAAGCTTGTTGAAAAACTGAGGACTGCTGGAGGTTCCCATTTCCTGACGTAGTGGAGGAGAACAAGTCAGACTGCATCTGTGTTGCAGCTTGGCAGATATTCTGCTGCATTCCCATTACCATTGCTGCAGAAGTTTCCATTGCTTGCTGCTGCTGCTGCTGTTGCTGCTGATTGGACAACGAACTCTCAGGCTGAGAATGGACATTTTCAGCTCTTCCGGACAAAAGATTCTCCGGCCTGGAATGGACTGCTGTTTCTGAGGACGAAAATATCCCAGGATTTACACTGCTTTGTATCTGACTGACTTGCTGAAAAATGTCTGCATTGAGCTGCTCTTGAACATCCTCACTACTGTCTGACCCAGAAAACAAAACAGAAGACAACTGCTGTTGAGCTTCCAAGACTTGCTGGACCAAGTCAACATTTCCACTGTTGCCACTGGCAGTACTGGTTGGAAAATTTCCAGCCTGCAGTTGCTGTATAGTGTTCTGTAACTGATTCACACTGCTTGCTGATGAAAAAATACTTGATGAAATCTGTTGCTGTAATGCCTGTGCTGGTTCTGCTAGATTTGACTGCTGTTGCTGTGATGCCTCAGTCAACTGTGACAAAGTGACTACGGTGCCATCTGATTGCAACACCTCTCTGGACTGGGACTCTCTAGTCTGGAACTGTGCAGCTTGCTGCAGTAGTGCATCACTGTTTTGCAGCTGGCCAGAAGCAGAGACAGCTGGAAAGCTACCAGGCTGTGAAATGTCCTGTGTCTGGATAGTAGTCAGAGTCTCTGGATACACCTTAGGCTGGATCTGCTGCTGGTTTTCATTATCAGAAGGTAAATGGGAAGCAGAAGTTGATATGCTGGACATATTGTTTTCTAAACTTTGCTGAGTTGGTCCAACCACCTTTGTAGTCTGAAAGGGAAAAAAAAGCCGTATAGTGAATGATATGATTACTTGAGTTCTGCTCAAAAGCCTCCATTCTCCAGCTACATGCAGGCAAACTCAGCTGAAAGGCCTGAATGTCTGCAATTGTGTCTCCATGCCCATCAACATGTCTACATCACAAATGCATTTGGAACCAAGGCAACGTGAGGACAAGATCAGGAAAACAGTGGAGGAAAGAAAGAACAATGCATAATGAAGAAAGAGAGAAATGTTGCTACTATAACTCAAAGAAGGCTGGAGAATAATTTAAAAATGTCAAGTTTCTTACAACTGTATGGCTGCTTTTGTGTTAAAAAAGGCACAGAGGCAGAACAGTATTATGCAATTAGATGCATTAAGAACCTACTGCAGGAACATGGGAAGAGGGAAGGTGGCTTTCAAGGAAATCACCTACTGCTTCATCTACTGTCACTGGCTGCATACCCAGAGTACAAGATCATCTAGACCATAAAAGTCCGTCCTCTCCCCTCTCCCCCCCATTCTCTCTCCTGTTATTACTACTACGGCAAAGATGGGCAATCGACTGCAAGTTGTGGTAGTCAGCATCCTGGGACAAGTGTTACTTACACTGAAGACTGTAGGAGATCTTTTTTCTGCTGTTACTTCCATTGGAGATACTTCTTCACTCTTAATCATACTGATTGGCATGAGCGGAGTTATCAAGGCACTAGGAAGAATATTTACCTTATCCAGGTTACAACCAGTAACGTTCACTGCTGCAGGTCCAAAAAAAAAAAAAAAGAGAGATGTAAAATATTATCCTGCACTGTAGCTGTTAAAGTTATAGATAAACATGCCAGTGCCTTAGTGACAGATTACTGGGAAGATGGTGGCTCTCTTCCCAGTGCAATTTTGTTAGCATACCATAAACTCTCCCATCCATGACAGATGGGATGCTATTGTGGAGAGAAACACCTATACCAATCAGAAATCCTGAAACATTCCTGGAGCATACATAAAACTTGGTAAAAATATATATATAATTAAATAAGTAATATTTTCAAGATGAACAACTTCAGCAATTTTAGCCCAGAATAACTATACACTCTAGGGTTAAAAAGAGATTTCCAAGATCGTCTTTCCTGCCTAGTGCAGGGGGCTGGACCCAATGATCTCATGAGGTCCCTTCCAGCCCCTAACATCTATGAATCTATGAAACTGTTTTGAATTTGACATTGATTGTAGGACAACAATCAGACTTTTGCGCATGTCTGAACAATGAAGAGCTTAAAGAAGTTTGCTTATTTTCATATAGTTGAAAAATTATCAAACAAAAGCTTCAGTTCAATTTGTATGTCAACTCGGTGATGCTGTATGCAAGCAAGATCTCATTTTGTCTCCATAATCTTTCTAAATAATGTGGGCAGTCTCTTCAGGAATGAAATTCTCAGTCCTAACTTCTTTCTAAGGTAGTTACAAAGTGTGCCTACCACCACTGGATAATTTTAGATGGGAACAAAAAATTGAGTTATTTAATTTCAAGTCTGCTGCAACATGGCCTCCAATCATGTAGACTAAGAAATAGCCTATAAAGCCTTAACATTCACAGAAGTGATTTTTTTATTAAAGGGCTGTATCTTTTCTTCATCCCGGAGCAAAAACAAGGTTATGAAACACTTCCCTTGCTTGTAACCTACACCTCTTGATAACTAGCTGTAAACAGCTTTCTGCAAACTGCCCTACACAGGTCCTCACCCATGCTCCTAGTACATTTAGTCTACAAAAGATCAGACTCTCTTCTGAAAGAACATTTTGTATCTTGAGTAATAAATCCTCAGCCATGAGTTGAAAAAGAGTATCAATAGCCAAATAAGCTCTCCCCCTCATTTGTCCACTTACAGGTTTGGCATTTCTCCAGATACTTAAACCACAGGTTTTGACATGTTGGACTGCTGGCAGAAGACACGGCTAGGATAAGACCAGAGCTCCAAAACATTAAATCCATCACAAAATAGCTGCATGTTTTTGTTAATTTGATGCCTATCATTCAGTTAAAGACAAGTATTTCCGATTAGGATGGTTTTATACTATTAAGGCAGGATTTAGATACAGTGTTGTCGTTCAACCTTAATTTCTGTGTGCTTATCAGAAACAATGAACAATTAATAGATTGTTAAGGAAGCAGCAGATAACAACTGTAATTTCAATACAAAGATAGCTTTAAGATGTCAGTAGTATATGGATTAGACATTAATAAAGAGATCAGCTCAACAATGGTATTTTTTTTTTACTTTTAAAAACAACATTTGGTTGGAAAAAATGAAGACCGATAGAAGAAACGACAATCAGTTTTTAAAATAATAAAAAAAGGCAATACTTCTCTTTGCTTAGTTGGTAGTTAATTTATACTTTTTGAATGGTTATTGTCCTCTCCAGGTATTTCCTTTACCCATTCCCTTAGTGTGTAGAGATTTTAGAATTAAATTAAGTATTGTTGAGACAACGCCAGAAGAGAGTGCAGTTCTCTAAACTAGTCCCACACTATGTGACTACACATATATACTTTCCCAGTATTACAGAACTGTACACAACTGAGTAATCAACCTCAAATTTATGAGAAAGTATCTTCAAGGCATCTTACACTGGGCATTGAAAAAAAGAATCTGAAGTATTGCATTAATGTTTCAATAGACTAAAACGTCTGACAGCCTCAGAAGACAACAATACGCTGATGCCATTACACGGAATTAACTTCAGTTTCCACCCATTCCCACACTAGGACAAATGGCACAGCCATCCCATCTACAGAGCAACCGCACAACAATGTCTAGAACTTTTCACCTTTTTTGTCTAGCAGGGACAGAAGCATTAATGTAATAAACACCTGAACATAGGGTGACACTGCCAGGATCTAGTCTACACAAGCAATTCTGCAATTGTTTCTTTAAGCTGTTCCCTGTAAGCCTGCTGGGTGGGGTGCTTCTGTATGAAGGCTAACCAGATATTGTTCTGACTCCAATCCAAGATGGGGTTTTTTCCCCCCTATTCAACACGGGGGAAAGAAAAGTCTAGTCTTGGTTCAAGTACAAGGACTGGAGCTGCCACCACCCCTGCTACCTAGCCAAGGCCAGAGCTGGACACTGCCACACTGGGTAAGCAGCAAGGAGGCAGGCATTGGAGGGGGTCAAATAGCAGGGGAGGACAGGAGGCAGGAGAGCAGTCACCAGGAAGGCGCACACTGGGGGTGGGGGCGAGTGTTGAGGGAGCAAGGGGCAACAGGAGGCAGGTACTGAGGACATGCAGTCACCACAGGGGTGGGGGGAAGCGAGTGGCAGGGAGACAGGCAGGGTCAGGTTGCCCGCCCTTCACTGCTGCTTCTTTCCTCCCTGCCACTGCTTTCCCCACTGCAGGGGCATGCATAGAAATTATAATTAGCAAGTAGTGTTTGACTTGTACCCTTTATATTTCATACTAGTTATTAGAAACATGATTTATGGTCTTATAAGCATAATTTTATTAAGCTATTCACCTCATCATCTTGTGGCAGTGTAGCCAACTGTTTAATTTACAAGCTTTTGCTGCCCTGTAGTTCAGTTCTGCTTCAATCCACTCTGCAGTCTGGGCTGAAGTTAAAATGGACTTATCTCCATTTACCATGAGACCACTCGTGCAGAAGATATGAAGGTGTGCAGTTATCAATTCTTGAACCTCTGGATACAAAAGCACTACTGTGTTTGGTTCCTATGAATAGGTCAAGGCATTTACAGAAATACTCTTACTGTGCTTTTGAGAGGCTGAAAGGCATCATTGTGTACTGATACTAGTTCAGAATGGGAATGACTCAGACACTGTGTAGAGCTGCAAGCTAATTTCCATGATCTAGCACAGGTATTTTATTGAGATTCAGAATGGGCACTCTAATAGTGAAAGAATGCATTTAGTCATCTGAAATACAAAACTGGACTTTACTCCCCTTTCTTGGGGAACAGTATCTAAAATAAAAACTTTTCCTTCTCTGTTGGGGAGGTATAGTTTCTACTGCACCTAATTATAAAACTTGCTTTTTTCAGAAGCCTCTCCAGAGGGATCTCTGAAAATGAGTTGGGGTTCAGTGTCGTGTGACACTGAACTGTATGTCCAGTAAAAAGTTTCCATTACCTATCTGTCTTCCACATAGACTGGAAATATTGGGAAGGAGCACTAGATCCAAGGAAATATTTGGTCTACAGTTTTCAGGGATCCTGCCAAAATGGGTATGAAATAGTTGGTAGCATCAAGGTTGTCTATTTGTAACCGGTGATGTTTTGCAATTAGTTACATGACTGCTGGTGGTAGGGGAGAGGAAGACATGTCTTTCAGCTCTGGGAAGATTGCATTTTTACCAAACCCTCTTTTCATTTCAGGTATATAAAATCCTCATGAATGAAGTGTGGCCTGAGTCTCTTAAACGCGCAGGACACCTGTCCCCTTGCTGAAAAGACTGCTGTCCTCAAATGGTAATGCCTGCACTATTACCTGCAATTCTACTTGGAATCTCCAAATGTCTAGGCCCCAAGCAGCATTTCATTACTACAGCAGTCATCTTACATTTCAAGACAGTGTTTGCTGTGTCTGATGTTGTTTGTAATGATAAACTTACCAAAAATTTGCCTTCATTTGTAATTACCATAAATTGTTCCTTGCTTTCCTGGGGCAAGCCATCAACACATCTAATTTATTGTAGTTAATAAAATTGTATTCTGTCATGAATGTTTGGTCTCTTGAGATAAAAACGTATACACACACTGTAATTTTTCATCCTAGATGGTCCAGTCATTTAGCATCTTTATCAAAAAGCACTGTCTGTGACTGACACTGTCTATTCCCTTAACTAGCCACTGTGACAATGAGGGAATCCAAGACAAGGGCAAGAAAATACATTTCCCTCCCCTCTCCCTCCCCATGGAATCTGACAGTATTGTTCAGTTTTCCTGGAAGTGGTGGTAGGAGCATATACTACACCATCCTTGTAGGCTCTAGGAGCACTTCATTAACACAACTATGATGTATGCCCAGTAATCTGGGAAGAGTTTAGTGAACCTCTCAGTGGAGTTTTCAGTGCCTTTGTATCCTCTTCATTAATTTTTGCAAAATTTAAAAATCTTTGAGATATATTTTTTCTCTGAGCCTTCCCTAAGGGTCCCAGTATGGCCACTTCTTACTATATGTGCAACTGGAAAGTGATCCAATGTTAAAAGTATACTAAAACTTGCGAACCGTTCATCCTTACATCTGGAATGCTGAGATACTCTGGATATCTTATCTGGACTACCTTTACTAGACTAAACAAGAGATACTGTATTCTACTACTCTGTGAACCAGAGAAAGAATAAAACACCTCTGAATCTAAGGGAAGACTTAAGGATAATTGGGCATGCTGGCACTCCACTGGCATGCGGACAATATTGGAGAGAAATATAGGATTGATTATAGCATAGCTTCACATAACAGATTCCCCAACAGCAATTAGTATTCAAGTTGGCTAAAACTCCTCAAAGTCTGCCAATAAATTGCATCAGGTCAGTGCTGCAGATAGGAGAATGGAAGTAGCATCTTCATTACCTAGTACCAGTGATGAAGCATTTGCTGAATATGGCAGCTGTGCTTGGCCCTACAGTGACTCAATTATTCAGTACTGCCTGACTGAAGAGTAGCAAAAGGTGTCCCATACCAATAGCTCCAGCATATGGCCCTTAGATTCTAGGCACTGAAGCAGCAACATCATGCATTTTAGGAGCTTCAAGCATAAACATGCAAAGACCTGGACTCTCATCAGATTTGAACTGGGACTGAAATCTTGACCTCTTTTTGGAAGATGATTTTGAAAGCATTTTTTTCTTCCCTTCATTATGAAGCAGCTTAGACTCTCTCACCAGCACTCTTCTCTGGAAGAGACTTTTTTGCCAAATACTTAAGGAAAGGAATCCTGGACTGAACTGATCTAAGTAGACTGAAAGGACACTCACTTCCTGGGCCCCTGGTAGACTACATCTGTAGGACCAGAATCTGTTGACTGCATAAGGAAAATTCTTAAGCCTATTTTACAACATCTTAGTCCTCTGGGAAAATGACACTTAAATTACACTTGAGAGAGAAGTACATTTTCCTTAAGCAGTACAAACCGGTCTCATAGTACTAGTTAACTGGAAAGAAACTCACAGCGCACGTAGTCCCTAAAACCTGGATGCTAATAATAATAATAAACTCACTACACAAGCAGTGTGGGGGAGAGCTTAAGATAAACTCCTTAGGCTATGGACAAACACAACTTTTAGCTGCTTTAAGAGAGGAAGGAGAGCTGCTGCTGGGAAGCCCATATCCATGGTTAAGATGCAACTCTTAGGTCCACAGATTTCTGTAGGCATGAGGTAACTAAATTGCTGTAACTTTAACTCTTACTGAAACAGTTGAAAGTCCCAACAGTGTTATTATTACACTTGCACAGACTGGAACATGAGGTATCACTACAGGAGCAGGCAGATCTAACAATGTTAGCATTAACAGTTTATATCAGTATCGCTGGATATCAGTGCGGCTGTACATCTGCCTAGACCCTTCTTCTCCCCAACCTATCTGAACCCTAAACTAATATAAAAGCAATAAGAATCTGTCAACTATTTGCAAACTAGGCAGAAAATCCCTAACACACAAACTAAAGCCACACACTGGGATTCCACCTCAGTCAAGAATGGCAAGAAGAAACTGTAATGGCAGTTGGCCCTCAACTTGGTAAAGTGCAAAGTGCAGCTTGGGCAGACATGCAGACCATGTGGGCTGCTAAATTCTCTGGTCTCAGGCACATGGGGTGCATGAACAACTTCCAATGGAACAGTGACAAGAACTCAAAAGAACTGACAAGCAGAAAAATACAGAAGAAAAGAAAGATTCAGTTAATATTCCTTGCACAGTTTTCTAGTATTAAGCCTCATGCTTCAAGTCTTAATCCAGAAGTCAGAGAGACGGATCGGATACTAGAGACACATTATCTCATTCCTCTCTGTAGTGAGGTGGTACCGCCTGCTTCTGTACTCAGTGACTGCTGGTCACTGGTGCAGGTTGCAAGAGATGTCTGATGCAGTGTATCAACCCCTGTTTCCAACCCTTTTGATCTTGGTGCACACTGACTTTTTTCATCATCCTCTGGCTCAAAAATGCTTGAGATTTTCCTTAAATATTTACTTCAAGTTTCAGGACATTATATCTTGTATTACTGCTCTTGACTATTCCTAAGAGTATATTTGACTTCTAGACAAACCAATTGCCATGGCTGAAATATGAAGACAATTAAGTTTAAATACCTACTTCATGATTTTAACCTGAAGCTATGGATCCCTATCAAACTTGTGATCACATGGTTTAATCTGTTCTCCTTTCAAATTGCCTTCACCAGAGCATGTTATGGAAATTTCCATTAACCTTGGCATGCTAAAATAGTTTTAACAAATGAATGAGAAAGGTCTCCCTCTTTTACTTTATTCCAATAGGAAAAGTCTAAATAAATTTCACACTATAAATTTAGACCAATCTAAACTTGCATACCAGGAGGAAAATGAGGCAAACACCACGTTTATGCAGAGCCATTACAGAACACGCACACAATGGAATGAGTAGAGAATAAATATTAGATTTAATAAGGAGTCATACTCTTCCTAGCAAAACCACTAATATAAAATCACATCTGGGCACCGACAGAACAGCCTCTGCTCTGCCCCAACACAATCACATTATGTCTCGTGAGGTAATATCCAAATCTAGTGTATTAATTGAGGGCTGCTTGTAGACACAGTTCTTACTCCTTTATATCTTAGTTTGTTTATATTAATACACTTACATTTCCTAAATCTAATTTGCATGTTGGGTTTGTGTAAATTGTACAATTCCATTTTCTTTCATCTTTCTTCCTTACAAATGTTCTAATGGAAGATTGCAATGTAAGGTATGAAAAAGAAAAAGTGTCCAGATGGATTTTTTTTTACCCTGTACATTGTTTTCACCTTGTCCTATTCCACATTAAAATACACTAAAAGAAAACATAAAAATTGTAAGCACACTGTACATGATCATAATCTTATTTCCCTAGAACCCAACTCTTCCAGTGCACAATTGGGACAAAAATAATGGAGGAAATTATAGCTCACTCAAACAGTATTTATAAGGATCAATTTAGTACCTTTTATGGCCTCTTCAAAAGAGCAAGGTTGTGCTGGGCTGGAGATTTCCTCCTTCACAATGACGTTCAGAGTACCAGCTGTTGGGGCAAAAAATAGTGCTGAATTTTTAATATGCTGAAAATATTCTCACACAGAGCATGCGTCTACACATGCATTTTAATGCACAGTAGACTATTTTACTGTGCATTAACGCATCACATAAAAAAATGACATTTTGTTGATGCGCAGTAAAAGAGTCTAATGCTCATTAAGCATCACTAAAAAAAGCATGCAAATGCACTACTGCGTATTAGTGCAGCCTAACGCGCATTAGTTTAGTACTTCACATTTGAGGTATTGAATTTAATGCACGTTAGAAAAGGTGTATTAATGCACGTGTAGATGCGCCCAGGGAGAGAGAGTTATTAGCCTTAGTTCTCCGAGATGTGCTGTTCTTATACCTCCTAGCACTGCTGTACACGTACCCAGCATGCTCAAGTTTAGATTCTTTTGGCCTGCATTGCTTGCTGGAGGCCATGTCTGCAAATTGTGTCCCTTGTACACCAACCAAAGGCATAAAGGGCTGAGTGACCCCAGTGATATCTGAGCTACTGCCCTTATACAGGCCTCAAAGTACCGGATAAGGGCAGAAAAATCCATTAAATATACATCCCTTAGCTTCTTAAATTTACGTACGTGTATCTGGAGTGTATGTAAACGGCTGCACATCGTGTGATCTTCCAGCATTGGTCACCACATATATCCCAACAGAAACAGCTGAGGTTATGTGCTGCTCATGATATGGTGGCACCTTCACAATAAGGTGATTCTGAATTGCAAGAGGGAAGAGAGAGTGTGTCAAAAAGACTTTCACCATCTTAACTTCTTAAAAGATAGTTTCTACTCAAACACTTCAAAAGAAAAACAAAGGATTTAAAGGAAAACAAGGAGCTTGGGAGACGGTGATGGCTGTGTTCTTGTTGAAAGAAGTGAACAAGCTGAAAAGGCTACTGGAATGTTCCATCTAGGCAGCCTTTATTTGCAACATATAGCACAGCTGGAGGGATAGGATGGGAAAGGTGCACATACACCACAGTACTATAACTATGGTTCAACACCCCTCTCCCTACAAAATCCTCCCCAAACCTTTACAATTAAAACCTACCAATTCCATTTTTTAGTATTTGGGAACAGCAATTTTTATTTACACAAAAGATTCAAACAATTATAGCTAGCAAACAAATGTGTGAAAATCCCAACCTGCTTGTAAATAATTTGTGAACAGAAAAAAGTATTCCAGTTGTTAATACATGTGCCTAATCAAGAAATAGAATTACAGGATTGTAAGGATTCAGCTAACTCAACACATAGTAGAACAGCACATTCATCAGCAGTAGTAATAAGGTCATCAACAGACTACAAGTTAATGTTTGTGTCTCAGTTTTGTACAGCTATTAGAAATAAGGAACTGTTTCTACCACTGTGTTTGTAGGAGGTTGCCTTAAAGACACTATATTTGTCAGATATTGTTCACGTCAGTACTGTGAGCAGAACTGATTCAGCTTACAAGCTGAATAGCTGGGAGAGGTAACCCGAAACAAGGGAAATTCAGATAGTTACAAAGCATATGGCAAATACAATGCATTTCCCTTAGTACTAAATTGATAACTCCTTAGGTAAGTGCCAAGGGCAAAAGTTTAGATACTTATTTTTCACTAGATTACAGAACAGTGCTTTTTTTTTTGGTTTTGTTTTACCAATCATTCAGCATGGAAATGAAACTCCACTCTGAAAAATATGTAGAATAGCTGCACCCATTATACTCAACCAATCTCTTCCTTGTATTTTTCTGCTTATTTTTAAGTATGAATACAGACAGGTTCTTTTGCTGTACAAGCTATTCCTGCTAGCCTTGCAGAGCTGACAAGGGCAGCATTCTAATTATTGCACAGCAATGCGGTCTACCATGTTCTCATTCCATTCTACGCAGGTTCTTATATCTTGCTGTGGTATCTAGGAGTTAAACCTGTGCTAAGCTACTGATGTTTTTGAGGGCATCTTTGTATCTTCCTTTGCTAAGGAAAATGGATCAGTTAAATCTGATAGGCAGAATTTTTATTACTTGCAATAATGTACAAGACAGAAAAAAAACCCATTTGGCCTCGGATCCTTGGTTGAGTTTGTGGTGCTGACTTTACAGGAAAACAAACACCTATTTTTATTTGCAGTTGTTGCTGACCTGGATTCAGCAAGACAAATCATTTCACTTTCAATAACAATAATAATCACGTTCAATTTTCTGAGTAGAACTCCCCCTTTATTTTTATCACTAAACGATTAAACAAACTGATGCTAAATCCGGTGTTTGATTCAGTGGTATTTATTTCCAGTGAAGAACCTGAAGCTCTGGCAGTGCAACAAAAAGAAAAGCTCATTCTAAGGTGGGTGAACTTTACAATTATATTATAAAGCTTCCCGTCCTGAGGTATTTTATGGAGGACGGGTATATCTAGGGTTTTAATCTGAGTGGTATCTAAACAGTTATGTGCTTTACCATACACCTAACCATAAGTTTAATAAACTGAAATAATCAAAAACAAACAAATAAACAACGCCCTAATAGGAGAGGGCACCAAATGAAGAATATTTTGTCCTGGGAAAAGGGTGCAGTATGCCTCAAATATCACTGGGACAAAGCAATCCTGAACAGAATTTGTCTTTTTGGTGTTCGGGATGGAGAAGCAGTCCCATCAGAGAACAGGTTTTCTGTACTGTGAGGCTTCCTTAGTATGGTCTCTCTCTTTATGGACAGACATTACAAAGGCCTAAGGAAAACTAGTAAGTTAGATATGTCCCTGTCCCTCTTTTACATTCTTTTTCAGTCTCAGAATCGACTGTGCGCCTTACTACTTATGTACTGGCAAAGCTATAGATAAATGCTTAGTTCTGACAGATATGCTTACATGGTTGAATTACTAATCTATTAAGTGCAAAAAAGCTGTTAGGGAACATTAAGTTTCGAAGTCTGAACAGAGAACAATTTTAATGAGTAAAGTAAGCATGGAAAATTATATACTAAGCATATAAATAGCAGAGTACTTTTGCTTAAATTGTATTTTCTATTTTTCCTCCAAGTTAGGAAAGTATGCTTCATTAAAATAAAATCTCCCTCAACCTGAACAGTAAGAATTACGACACACCTAGCATCTTTGCAGTGCAGTATGTAAAGTAATCCTGATTCAGTTTGCTTAATCCTGTCCTCTACATTTTTGTATTCTTGTTCCTTGCTCAAAAACAATGATAGCAGATGTAGAACCCAAGTCTCTGTCTTGGGCAATGACATGAGAAGAGTTTCCAGACATTTATATGCAAATACTGAACAGTAAAATGATAAATACCTGATGAAATAATTCCATGTCTATTTCAGCTTCTGCTTTCCAAGAGTTTTCATCTGAGTTTTAAAAAGACCAAAAAAGCCAGTTTTATTGCACATCTCTGCAAACTAAAATTCTATTTTGTTGTCCCCGACATAGCTACCATAGTATCAGTTACTCCATAAGCTCTCAATAAATCCAGCAAAAAACAACCAGCGGAATATAAAACCCAAGCAGATTCTTCCTCTCCTCAGCCCAAGCCATTGCTGCTTTCATACTGACCAGAAATATTCTCTTGGAAGATTACTTTTGTTCCCTTCAGAAAGTTCTTGCCAATCAGAAAGACTTCCTCTTCTCCCTTTACTGAACAGCTGTGCAGACTTTTCTTTAGGATCTCTGGAACGCCTGCTGGTTGAGCTACATTGGAGAGACAAGCAGTTTGAAACAGAAAGGATTCCTCATGCTGCTTAACAAAAGATCTTTCCCTTACAGAACTACAAGCTGAAGAATAAGACCCGCCCCCCCAATCTTCTGTCTTTACTATAAAACTTAGGGACCAGTAGTTTCAATTTTTCACATTAAACATGGCAAAATTATCAAGTCTGTGAAGTCTGAGCAATGTGCATCTGAGTATGACAAAAATTAGGTGCATCACTTCTCTTACTGAAGATGTAAGTGCAAAACTCCTTATGGTGGAAATCTGCGAATCAGTGTGTAAAGAATAGCAAAGTCAAACAAGGAAGAGTAGAAATGGTTGAAACTGAAGTTTCTTGAACCAGCCCACCAGCTTTGTAGTAAGTGGGACAACAATAGCTTCTTTTCAATTAACAAACAACAGTTTCTTTTTAATTAATTCCAAAGGCCCAGTACATTCTGAATTTTTTAACTACCTTTTTGTGTGGATGCACTGAAAATGATTACATAAAAATGCCTCAAATGTACAAATTAAACTTAAAAACTACTGTTTCAGTCACTCGCAGGAATCCTAGTAGTTATAGAACTACAGTAGTTGCAATGTTTTTTCTGAGAGAAAAATTACTTTACTGGCTCTTTAAGACAGGAATAAGTCCGCTAGATGATCCACTAATACAGAAGCATGGGATTTACTTAGTTGTGGAAACCAAACTGCAGCTGTAGGTGATCATCTTTATGTTCTGGAGGAATTGACTCTTCTCGCACTGTCTGAATCAATTGAGGCAGCTTCCATTAAAAATACACTGGAGGAAATAGGAGTCAGCAAACCAAATCCTCCTGATCCTTCTCTTTTCTACATGCAAACAGATGCATAAGAAACACACACACCTATAGGAACATCATAAAATCGTATATTTAAGCCCATAAAGGTCTATATGAAGCAGCTTATTCAGTTTTGTGCTTCTGAAAACATACATTTCAAACTAGTCATTTCCATAGCACTTTTCCTTTTATTGTGCGACAGGCTTCACTGACGTATCAGGAACTAAAAGCAGAACCTCCAGAACTAAAAAGGTATAAGCTGCTACAGCTGGAGCCAGAGAGCCACTGCTCTGAGCTGTGAGCTAAAACAATTAATCTCCCCTGTGAATCAGCATGGAGGTGGCGTGTTTCATCATGTGGGCCCGTAATTTTCTGCATCTCAGAAACCAACATTTATTTTCAATGGCTAAGGTGCATATATTAAATTTTACCTCTCCTGCAATGTATTTCTAGGATGCTGAAAGAATAGAATGTTATCTCTTAAATTTAAAAAAAAAATCATCTCAATTGAAAAAGTAACAAACATAAATCTAAATTATTATGCGAAAAATGTTAAGATTTTGGATAATAACTGAAGAAACCTAAAGATTCCTCTCCATAATACACAGAGAGCTAAAAGCAAATTTTAAAAGTAGTACCATTTGGCTTTAATTTCCACTTGTGAATAATTCATATGAAATTCTGTTTCTCAACATATGAAAGATTTCTTCAACTATCTCTTACTATCATGGTCAATAGTACCAATCTTCAAGCTGGGGCAGACCAGACTGTAAATATTACTTCAGACTCAGAACCTAAAATTTACCAGCAAAACACTTTGATTATCAGCTAGGTCAGGGCTGCCCAACTGGTGGCCCACAGACTGCACATGGTCTATGAATGGTTAATTCATGGCCTGGGGGCTCGGCCTGGGTGCCACCCCCCCCAAAATCACTCCTCTAGCTGGGATCTCCCAACTCCCACTGCCACCTCCAACTTCCACTTCCTTGTTCCCAACCTTGGGTAATTCCCTTCTGTTAATCCCTTTCTTTGGTTCAGAAGACTGACATCAGCTTTAGAGATATTCCTTCACCTTTTTCCTTGAATAAATTACAAGAATTCCTAATAATTAGAAGTCAGTATCAGTCTGTGACTATATGCTGATGGATAATTATTTCCCCTTTTCAATTCAAATAAAAATCTCTCTCAAGTACAGGTGACTGGAGGTGAGATTCAGGGTAGAAACATTTTTTCCATGTTACACTTTGTCCTTAATTTGACAAGCCAATAAGAAGCTATGCAAAGAGGAGATGAAAAGAAAAAGGTAAAAACTCGCGAAGGCTCAGACTCTCCATCTAGGTCCAGGGCTCTGTTGCTGTTGGAAAGCAGGAAAGAGAGAGGCCTTCCCAGTCCTGTAGCTGCCGCCGCTGGTGGTGGCTCCCTTATTTTCAATGTCACCAGGACATTTTAAGAATCAGTTGGAAAACTTAATTTTGCATAATCAGAATCAAATTTCTTTCCAAGCTGATGAACTGTCATAACTCTGCAAAGCTCTTGTTCACTCACTTCAGATAAGTTATTTCTGCTAAGGAAAGCTGGGTGGTGACAACTGCAGTCTCAGTATGACAAAGATGTTAAGTGCCTGTGGCAAAAAAGTCACTTCACTTTGTGATCAAATCAGGTGAACATGGAAAAAGACTTCTGACCTTTAAAAGGCATCACATGGCTTAATTATAAACCAAGCATTCAAGAATGCAAAAGAATTTTTTAGAAATGTTTAAAGCACCTGCTTTTAAAGAAACAACAAACGAGGAAGTCTCTGCTTCACGGTGAATAAGACTGATCTGTCACATACACATTAGAGCTGTATCAACTAAACCTTAAGTCAGTTTATAGACAAGGTGATCACAGTAATAGCAAGTAAGACCAGATTAAAACCAATACCCTTTCTATTCCAAGTTTTTGCTTTGATGCTTACTGCACAGAATGGGAGAGGAAGGTGTCTGCAGGGTTAGTGTCGAGCCGTCTTTCCGAGGGATGTTAACACGGAACACCAATCTGGCACGGGTGCTTTTTTTCTTTGAACCTGCAAGTCCTATTCGAGCTTCAACATCCGCATTCCTCAACTTCAGGATTCCCACACAATCAACCCTAGCAATGCATGAAATAGAAGTTAATAATTCAACATCGTTTTCCAAAATGTTAATTAGAACGTTTGCCAGTGTTTGGAGGTCAGAGGTTTACCATCTCCACAAATTTGCTTAGATTTGTTAACCAAGCTGCTAGTTCATTCTTGAAATTCTGAATTACTTTGAACTCTGCCTGAAATAGGAGTGCTACTGCATTTCTAAAGCAGAGAAATAAAATTAAAATTAAAAATAAATAAAATTAAATAAAAGATAACAGATTCACCCAAAGAACCTTGTCTGCCTATGTCCTTAGACCAACATGGCTACAACCTACACCACTGCATCTCTAAGGGATTTATATCACCTTACCTTTAACTCATCCCTGACTGCTCTATGCATCATGTGCTGAAGCAACATAGAAAAATGTGAAACTATGAAGGAAGGGAAAACTAGAGAACTAAAGTTTATTATGTGGTAGCTCTATTGAGCGCTCAGTTTGCCTCCACACATCCCACCCTCTAAGTCCTGGAGTACAGAATGATAGTTCTGGGCTCTTCACCAAAACTCTGGGCTCACTCAAGACAGCCATGGAATGAAAGCCACATGGTTTATTTATGGTATTGGGACCTGGCAGTTGCAGCCGTGACTTGTAGAAGTACGCGCACAGCCCCAGGCTAGGACTAATAGCGCAGTGCAATATATCCACCAAGCACTCAGAAAAACATTTATGACATACTGTATAAGTCTCTCACTTTTCCTCATTTGCTACAAAGAGATGGTAGTGATTATGAAAATCCTAGAACTTTGTCCTGACAATAAAAAATACCTGACAGACCATTAATATGGGGGTTGGACTAGAAAACCTCATGAGGTCCCTTCCAGTCCTACTTTGCTATGATCTATTTAATGATTTTGTATAAAACCTTATAGATGCATAAGAGACAAGGAAGAAAAGAGGTGGGGGTAGGGAAGAGAGATTTGGATTCAGATAAAAGCTGAAACATTTAATCAGCAATGCTCAAAATGTGGCTTAAAGTTCCAGAAGAAGTCCTGAAATCTGGTTGGATGGTAAATGGCGTTTACAACCTTAAGCAACAATTTTTCTTAGATATTCCTAAAGCGCTCATCTTTTTAGTACCTAGATAATAACATACACTAACTGTAGTACCTGAGGGTAGCTACCAAATGAATGTTTGTGAAGGCAGATTTTGGGCAATTTATTATAGAAACACATTCCACATACCAAAGCCAAGCAGGTAACTTCATTAGCTAACACAACACCAGTCAGCAAAATTATTCAATTTAAAATAATAGATCCTGCAAGCTGTTTGGGGGGGGGGGCAATTTGTACAAAACAAGAAAAAAAAGTTGCCTTACTGAGAAGAAAAGTCTGAAAGACCTTGCTTTACTTTCTTTGAATCAAATAAGAACCATACAGAACACTACTTTTTTTTTTTTTTAATGGGGGCCCCATCTGTATCAAAAATCCCGTCTCGTTTTGAAGCAGAGGCTGAGCGTGCTTTGGTCAGGGATGACGTAGGAGTAGCAATGCCTAGATACGCTGGGAAAAGCAACAGTTGGAAGCCTAGGAGATCCCCACAATGACAGCGTACAGCGTACTCACCTATGGCAGGTCAAAGGGTGTTTTTGATGTTCTAGGCTTTCTGCCTGGTACTGGTACGAGGGCTGTCCCTGAGGCTTTTTTAACAGGCTAGACCACTGGTGTCAAAGATCAAGCCCAAGGGGCTCTCCATGGGTTGGATCTGAAGCCCTGTACCATGTCATCTGGCTCGTGGGGCTACCCACAGGGCCAGAAAATGTAGCTGTGAGAGGAATGGCAGCTGCTAAGCTCTTGAAGCTGCAGTGATCAACAGTTCTGCTGCCAAATGTCTGGCCCTGCAAAACTAGGTAAGTTTGACTACCCTGACTTAGAAAAATACTTGTCTAGGATGGCTTAGATAAGAATGATTACACCTTGAGCAGGCAACTTGACTTAAATGACTTCCTGAGGTCCCTTTCAGCCCTACTTTTCTATCGTTCTAGCTGAAGAGTGCAAGCAGATGAGGCAATATGATCAAGAAACTGCTATAGGAACAGCAAAAGGCAAAGTATTTTTATATCAGTCCCAGAAATACTGTCTTCCAAAATAGAACGGATAGGAAGCTATTGTCTGAACTTCGTAACTAGAGGCTGCCAAAATGAAGTGGAAGATCCATTTCTTTGAGATGCCGATGTGCTTGTTAGGTATCTTCTATAGACCAAGCTACCTGGAGGTGAAGGCTTCTTTTATGGCCACACAATACTAGTCCAGCACACCTGTTACTAAGAGAGCAGTGAAGTGAGGGAGGTGCGGGGTTAGGTGTAGAGAGGAGAATACAAAGGGGCATTGGAAAAAAAGGGGAATTTTTTTTGTTAATACTGAAATACTTCAGTATTAAAAAAGCTGGATTTTTTGTAGATTAGATAAAGAGCCTACATTAATAAAATACTGTAAAGATCCATGTATAAACAGTGTTTAATAAACAGTTAAACAAAGATACAGATGCATATAATGCCATGAGTATTTGGCCACTGCCTTTGTGTGTTATACAGTCTCTTCAGGCTGTCATGAAAAGTTATTAGCCGGCATGAGAAAACATTACAAAAATCCAGTATTGATAATGAACCTGACCCATTTTAAGAACACTAATGTTTCCAACGGGCAAGAAAGACTTCGCTTGGAGACATATAATCTTTAGGTCAAGAGAAAAATAGCATTTTAATGAAGCAGGAAGAAAGGGCATTGACGACAACTTGAATGAATCCTCTAGGGGAAAGTTTAAATCCAAATAGGGACAACTGTCTCCTACTAGCTTCTCTTCTTAAAATCTCTTTTGGGATAAAGACAAGATTTTTTCTGAGATCAGGATCCATCTTCTCTAATTCTAACAAGAGATGCTTCCCATTTTATCAACTTCTTGAAACAAAAATTATTGGAAAGTGGGAGCCTGAAGGGAAGTTGAAAGGCAGAAATAACTGACAGGACCGAACTCTATCCTGGAATCCCAATGCTTGATACAACATGACAGCTGTTTATCAGTCTGGGAAAGGAAAAGAAAAAAAAAGACGACCGGAAGAAAACTGAAGATTTCAAAACAATATTGCTGAGATTTACTTGAGTTGCAGTAATCTGCAGCAGAGACCACAGCAATCTCTCAAGGTCTCATTTGACGCCTCCAATTCACCTCCTACACGTCTCTGAAAAGCCCCAAAGCTTTAGCAGAGTTCAGGTGATCCTGTAGCCATGACAGTCCAGGAATTATGAGGGGCAAGGATTTTTTGGGGTGATATCTTTTATTGGACTGACACTATAGTTGGGATAAAATTAGACAAGCTTTCAAATGTGAAGCATTCTTCCTCAGGTCCAAAGCTTTTAGGGAACAATATTGTTGAGCCCAAAGATGATTAATCTTTCTTTTCTTGTTATTTGTTTGTATTATATTAGTCAGATACCCGGATCACTAGTTCATAATTTAGGATACAAATCTTGCACTAAAAGGTACTTAGAGACAGAACGGGCAACTGAATCTTACCCATCTGTCAAACAGTTCACATATTTGCTTTTAGACATCTCTAGACTCTTGAGTGATAATAAAGGATTATTTAGATACATATATCTGAAAAGTGAAAGTTTCATACCCAAGATGGTCAATTTAATTTGCCATAAGTGCCTGCGGTTTGTTCATATTTTTAACTGCTTTCACACAGTTTGATGAACAAGTTCAAGAAGAGAATTTCTGGAACCAAGTTAATGAAGGTGAACAAAAAAAAAAAAAAAAAAAAGCTTATCTGAGAACAGACTTGCTCAAATCTTAATCTTCCCACAGTGTTTCTTTTCTCATGAATTCTTGTAGGAAATTATTCAGGGAAGAAACAAAAAAGGAATTTCTTTCCATAAAATGTAAATGCCAAGCTATAGTTAGTCAGTCTATCATTAGTCTTGCTATACATGTATAAATAAAAAAAGATGAATATTTAAGATAACATCAATGGTACTTTCAAACTTCTTTTTCTGAAGTACCACCTCCCCCCCAAATACTAGTCACTGTTTTATCCTAAAAATAATGCATTAAAAAAGTAGTACTTACGCAAGTGTCATGTTGTTGCTAGGGTCAAGGCCAACCTCTATGACTGTAGTACCCTCTATGTCTACTTCTTTGCAGGGTGTTGTGTTTCGCCCCGTTACTCTACAGGCCTGATAGAACCCATGTGGCTTCACTCGACCAGAGTCATTCCCCACAAACACTTGCAGCACGACTGATTCATTGTGACCTTCCAGCTAGAACCAAAACAGCAGGAAGCAGATAATTAGCTGACCTTACAATGTATTCAGTTATAAATTAAGACACTTTAAAACATGCACCTGACTGTTGCACTGGACAGCCAGCCAACAAAAGTGACAGAGTAAACACTTTCTGGGAAGGGGGGGAAGCAAAAGAATCGCTTTATAATTTACAAACACACCCGAAGTTTGAATCGACTGTTCTTCTTGTATCACATTCTTCCATGGAAAATGCAAACTACACAACAGCTACCATTCTCGGTTAAGAATCGTGATCAATGTTATGATTCATATTTAAAGTATTTTACCCATATCAGAAAAGCCCTCTAGTGATAGTATGCTGTCTGCTCTCAGTTTGCAAGGTAGAACTGTTTTGAAACATTCAGAATCACACAAACACACAGCTGGAAGGGACTGCAGGAGATCATTTAGTCTAACTCCCTGTTCAAGCAGGATCATCCCTGTTTAATCCATGCAGACAAATGCATCTAACCTGTACTAAAAAAATTCCAATGGTGTAGATTCCACAACCTCTCTAGCGAGTCTGTTCTACTGCTTAAGTACTCTTACATCATAGTTAAAAAATTCTTCATAGATCTCCAACCTAAATCTCCCTTCTTGCAATTTAAGCCCATTACTGTACTGAAACTGTCCCATCTCAATATTGAGAATAACAGATTTCCATCTTGTTTGTAAAACTTTTTTTTTAAATTTTTTTTACATATGTAGGCTCTTAATAAATCTTGCCTCAGTTTTCTTTTTTTCTAAACTAAACAAACACAGTGCATCTAACCTATCCTCATGCATCACGTTTTTTAGACTCCAATTTTTGTTGCTCTTCCTTTTATGAACTCTCTCCAATTTGTCCCCATTTGTATAAACGAAGATGCTCAAAATAAGATGTACGCTGACTCACAGACCACCCAGAGATCCTCATCCAGCCCACAAGGTCAAATGAGTTTGACACCCCTGCTATCCTCTCCAGGGACTGCCACCTTGTAGTGGTGGAGAGGCTTGCATGTTCCAATGATCCTGAGAGCAAGGCCATTGGGAGCTTCATGGTCCCGGTAGGGTCACCCATGGCGGCAAGGTCGAGGGGGAGAACTTCTATTCACAGCTTGACACCATCCTCTCAAATATCCCAAGGGAAGATAAGATCATCCTTCTTGGAAATTTTAATGCCAGAGTGGGAAGAGACTCAAAACTTTGGAATGGTACTATCGGAAAAGAAGGCGTTAGAAATTCAAATGCTAATTGGGTCCTTCTCCTGATGAAGTGCACAGAACACGGACTTGTCATCACAAAATACCCTGTTCTGTCAAAGAAACAAGTTCAAGACATCCTGGAAGCACCCTTCACTGAAACACCGGCATTTGATTGACTACATGATTGTTCAGATTTGCAAAATCACCAAGAGGTCCTGATTATGAGAGCCATGACTAGCGTTGATGACTGCTGGACTGACCACCGCCTCATCCATTCCTGCATGTCCATCAGGTACGCTCCTAAACGAAGAATGCAAAGGAAGCAGATCAGGCGCAAGTTAAACATCGAGTGCTTGAAGGACCCACTCAAGCAGGGAGAATTCCAGCAACTCCTGAACAAGACACTACCAACAGAGCACCCAGAAGGAGTCAAGGAGCACTGGATGGGACTCAAGACAGCTATTCTCTCATCCTGTGAAAATACCATAGGATACAAGACCAGGAAACATCAAGACTGGTTTGACAAAAAAAAATGATACTGAAATTCAAGGTCGCATCAACAGAAAATGGAAAGCTTTCCATCCCTGGCAGAATGACTTCAACTCTGCCATCAAGAAAAATGAATGCCAACAAGCAAAATCAGAGGTGCAGAGGAGAACACAAGAACTGAAGGAGTGGTGGATTCAGAAATCAAAAGAAATCCAACTTTGCTGATATCCGTGACACTGGTGGCTGCTTCAGTGCTACCAAAGCTGTCTATGGCCCTAGAACTCAAGGCCTTAATCCTCTAAGATCGAAGGATAGAACAACACTCCTGAAAGACAGAGAATCCATCAATGCCCACTGGAAAGAACATTTCCAGGACCTTCTGAATCGTGACTCAACTGTTGATGAAGATAAGATCAATAACTTTCCACAAATAGCAATCAGAAAAGACCTTGGTTTGCCGTCTACCCTAGCAGAGGTCGGGAGTGCCATCTGGAAAATGAAGAACAAGGCAGCCGGCGTTGACAGAATACCTGCAGAGATTTTCAAAGGAGGAGGAGAACAACTTACGTGTCAGCTTCATATCCTCATCCTTAAAATCTGGAACAAGGAAGAAATCCCAGGCAACCTAAGGGATGCCTTGATTGTTACCATCTTCAAGAAGGGGGACAGAGCTGATTGCGGAAACTACCGAGGCATCTCTTTGTTGGCCAGTGCTGGGAAAGTCATCGCCCATATCCTCGCTAACTGCCTTCTCCCACTTGCAGAAGAAATTCTTCCAGAATCTCAGAGTGGCTTCAGACCATCTCGAGGAACTGCGGACATGATCTTTACAGCATGTCAAATGCAGGAGAAGGGTCGTGAGCAAAACTGACCTCTCTATTTGGCCTTCACCGACCTCTCTAAAGCTTTCGATTCTGTAAACTGTGAAGCCCTGTGGAAAATCCTGTCCAAAATTGGCTGCCCAAACAAGTTCATCAGTGTTCCAAGACATCTCCACAACAACATGTCAGCAAGGGTCCTCAGCAACGGCAATCAAACAGAATCATTTGAGGTGAAAACTGGAGTGAAGCAAGGTTGTGACATCGCTTCAACTTTGTTTTCCAGCTTCATCTTCACCATAATGCACCTGGCGACAGAAAGCTTCCACCTGGAATTGAAATTGTATATAGGACAGACAGAAGACACTTCAACCTCAACAGACTCAAGTCCAAAACGAAGACCATGACAACATCCAGGAACTCCAGTATGCGGATGACAATGCTGTCATTGCTCAACCTGAAACAGACCTCCAAATCATTCTTAATGTATTCTTGGAAGTCTACGAGAGTATTGTCCTAATTCTAAACATCAGGAAAACACAAGTCCTTTACCAACCTGCTCCAAATGGAGAAACAACCTTTCCCTCCTGCCCTTCATTCAAATCAAAGGAGAATTGCTGGAGAACGTGGATCACTTTGCCAATCTTGGAAGCCATCTTTCATCTATGGCAGACATCAACGTGGAAATACAACACCGCTTGAAATGTGCAAGCACAGCCTTCGGATATTTGAGTAAGAGAGTCGTCTTAAATCATGACATCCTTGCTGAAATGAAGCTCTTGGTTTATCAAGCCACTGTCATTCCAACTCTGCTGTATGGCTGAGAAACTTGGACCACATACAAAAGAGATTTCAAGAACTTGGAAAAGTACCACCAACAGTGCCTTCACAAGATCCTTCAGATTAGCTGGGAGGATAGATGCACAAGCATCAGTGTCTTGGCTGAAGCAAATTCCAACAGCAATGAGACCATGATCATCCAAAACCAACTTCGCTGGACAGGTCATGATGTTCGCGTGTCTGACTCGCATTCATCGTGACACACTGCTCTTTACACTGCACGTGCTAATCCTCATCCTATTAGAGCTACTTCAGTAAATCCTAAAAAACCATAATATCACACAATCCCAGATAACTTCATATTAATTAGCAAATGCACTTTACAAAAGCAATGCAAAGGACTGTCTAATACATGACACCAAAGAAAAATATGTTTTCAGAAAGGTTAATGGATTAGGTCAGAAGAATTTTATATATTTGGGAAAATACCTACTAACAGTTCCATGCATGAAGTGACTGAATTCTCATTTTTTTTAACCTTGTGTTTAATTATAATTTAGTTAGAGGCTTGGTTTAGAGATGGGCCTACTAAGATCGAATGTTCTGGAAATACTGAAAAAGTTCCCATTAACTGGAAGGAAAAGGACTTTTGTGTGTGTTAAGCTGGATCAAAAATTCATTCTAAGTTGTAGTCTTTGGTAGAGAAGTTAGTTCACCAGTTTCTCCAGGTATAATTCTATCCCAGAGCCAAATTCCAGTCACAACTTCCTAAGTTTTCAAGTTCAGAAAAAAACTCATCTTCAAACTATCTGCCTACAGTACCACTCAACCAGACCGCATTGGTAATTTTGACAGATATTTTAGTATATTTAATTAGACATCAGTACATACATGCAGTACAATTTGTCTGCTTCCTGACAAACTTCTTTACAAACAGCACTCTGTGCATTCATTTAAATGGTAAAAGCTAATTGTACTGATCTCTCCATTCCTGATGCCTTTCTAAAATGTATTTCAGCACATCTTCATTGAGCAATAAAGACGCTCCTGTCCTACAGCATGAGTTTTTGTGGTATCCAAATAAAAAACAAAAAACAGTAGTACCCCTGGGAAACAGGGACATTTTAGAAAGCTCCCTGCATATAGAATACATTTACTCATGGAACTTTTAGATCTGAATTGAAAGCTTTTTTCAAGTCTTGTTTAGTCAGATACTTTCATCCTGGGGTTGTTTTTTTTTAAGTTGTGTACATAAGTGTCTTAATATTCTGCTATATTATAGTTCTTTAAAGAGATGTTTGGGGTGGACAGAGGTGGCTTATTATTTTGTTTGGCTTTTTAATTAACTTTGAAACAAGGATCATCATTATGAAAATGTTTCAAATACAGTAAAAAAAAAAAAAGAACGTAGAATTTTTTAGACTAATTACCCCTACTGTACCCAAAGGATCTGTAACATGACCATTTAAAAACAAACTAGAAATGATAGCATAACCAAAGCTTCAGAGAAATGTAAGGTCACTGTGCATGTGTTTGACCCAACAGATTTTAAAACTAGATATGGCCATTACAATTACCCACTTTGGTTTCCTGCATAATAGTCCAAAAAACATCGCCCAATAATTTCTGCATCCAGTTCAAAACTTCTGTTTCAGCTTCAACACATTTTGTGAAGATACCCAGTTTTCCATTAAATAAATGAAATGATGAAGAATCCCTCACATTCCCAAGTGGTTTGCTATTAGTTCCTTTCATCACTTAAGATCTGTGCCATGCATCTAAATTCAGTTTTATCCATTGGATACAGTTATGCTTTCACCTACTAGAATAAAAAGCGCTCTCTACTTTCAGAAAGTTTCTCCATGTGTAGATAGTCTGCAAATTTCTCAGATCAGGACAATTAGATCACACTGCCTGACTTACTGTGTAATCTCAGGCCCCAGCATTTTACCCAGTTAATCCTGTATTAAGTCCATTAACTTGGGTTTGACTAAAGCAAGGCTGTTCAACTGCCCCCTGAGGGGTTAAACTTTGCTCCCCGGGCTCCAGGAGCAACTCCCCTCTTTGCTTTCTGCTGCTGCCACAGGGTCTCCTCCTTTCAGCTTCTGCTATCTACCCCTGGGGGCAGGGTGGGGTGATGTGGAGCAACACAGCCTGTGGGGCTGGTGGGCTCAGAGTAATCTGAGGAGCCCAAGTGATGTCCGATTTGGTGAAGTGCAACAGGAGCTGCCTGCTGTGTGGTGGTGTGTGGAGGAGGAGGGGAGGGCAAGTGGTGTGGCATGCCCATGTGGTACAGTGGGGGGGACTTGCACAATACTTTGGGGACTCACAGTAGAGCTGGGGGGAGCAGAGGGAGGACTCGTATGACACGCTAGAGGCCTGTAGAGTGGTGCAGCGGGGGTTGCATGGCATGGTGTGTTGCTAGGGGCACTGCAGCCTCTGACCACTCAAAAGCTGGACAGCCCTGAACTAAAGCATGCCTTCCAGAAAGGGAGTCTTGATTAGGAAAATATTATCTGTGTTTTAACCAAAATTTTATGTTCTAAGAATAGCAAATGTCCACAGATTCATGGCTTTGGGTTTCTTTTATGTTTGTCTTGGAGGCAGACCAAATCTGTCAATCAGTGGCAGAAGAGGTCTAGCTCTGGGACACTGCCAGCTGTGAGACATCCATACCCTAGAAACTCTCTGATGGCTATGTTAGTAAGAAAAATTGAGCATTAATGCCAAAGGAGGAGAAAGGAAATTAATTCGAAATATCCTGCATCTTTCCTCTCTTATCCTTAACAATCCTGTATCTTTCTTCTCTTAACAGCCTCTAAGTGTGATAAGCTCTATGGACTGCATTGCTCCATATGAGAATTTTCAGGGCAGGCAACAAAATGTTCCTGTTCTTCATGAGGGCTTCAGAACCACACCACTGGGATCTTCAAAGCATCGACTGAGGGGGAGGAAGTACAGCTGTATATATGTGAATAAGTAAAGTTCCTGGGACATTACAGAGAGAAGCACCAATCTACCAAAGGCCACCTACAACCACCACTGGTCATCCAGGTTCAAGAATTTGGAGAAGATATTAATGACCAGGTAAGCTGCTCTATAAGTTCCTTTGTATGAGGCATATACTCTGTCTGCCTTGAAACTGCTACAGTTCTAAGGAAACAAGCTCTAATTTCAACAGATGCAATTATGCTTTTTGACTTCTATGTTTCTGTAATGCATACAACAGCTTACTCTGGAAATGGACAATTTTGAAGCCTTCCATTCTGATGATAAAGCACAAGAAAAGCATTTGCCTTTCTGAGCTGAGAAGTGTAGTAAACAGATGTCCAAAGTACACCATAATTTGCCTATGAGGCATGACAAAAGAGTGGATGGACAATTTCCTGTACTCTACGTAGCCTTGAGTTTCTCTCTCCTAGGAAAGCACTGCTGGCTCTGAGTACTACTCTGCCTTTTTACAAAGTGCAGTACTGAGCTTCTAAGGAAAGACTTCCCAGCTCGGGTACCATATACACTGCTGGGACTGCTACTAAATAATAGGCCACTTTAAAAAGCTAGGAAGTAAGGCTCAAATGAAGGGCTTCTAATGGCAGTGACAGCCAAGTGCAGATCTCATGAAAGATTTTTATGCAAAATGTAGAAATTATATTGTTCTCACTTGGACAACTGTTTAAGATGAAATCTAGTTTGTCTACTGCACTAAGGATGCTAGACAAAACAGCTATTTGACCTTTGAGTGTTGAACTGTAAGGATGCAGCTTAATCCATTCTGAAGAATATAAAGAATCCATGGTCTATGTAGCTTTGGGACTGGGGGGGGCTTGTTTGGTTACACCATCTTATTTTAATATTTTAGTCTTTTTTATAAGCTATTTAGTCTTTTATTGTAAGCTGCCCTGAGCTTTTTCTTGGGGGAAGGCTAGCATATACATCTAATAAATAAATGCAGATGTAGGGA